ATGGCAGCACAGCCCTCTGGTGTGTCAGCCATATTTCTGTTTGATCCAAACTGAATATAATTTTAAAAAAATATATATATAACACTTCTCCTAGTGAAATCTAGCTTGTTTTATATTAACCATATATTTGCCAATTGCTTAATTCTGAAATCTAATGCTTAGGTTTCCTTTTTTTCCTTCTGCAGTTCTTCAACAAACGAAAAACCTATTTTGCCCATGACCCGTTGCAGCAGTGTGTTGTTGGAGACATTGTTCTTCTGAAAGCTTTGCCTGAGCGAAGGACCAAACACGTGAAACACGAACTGGCTGAAATAGTTTTCAAGGTTGGAAATGTCATAGATCCAATAACAGGAAAGCCGTGTGCGGGAACCAGATTCCTTGAAAATCTGTCAGATTCGGAAAATCTGACAGAGGCAGATACCACCTACCTAAGTGAAAAACTTCAGGAACTTAAAGTTTGCTCCACAGACAAATAGTGGGGAAAATATTTAAACGGAGGGCTTTACAGCTTGTCCCTGTCAGGGATGTTTGGGGCCCTGCTGTTTTATGTTTCAGTGAAATCTGTAGTCAAAATAAAGAGTAAACATAGTTGCTTATAAGATCAGATGTTATGGATTGATAGGCGCCTCAAATCTTTAAATGAAAATACGGAGAAAATGTGAGTTTAGTGTTAACACTTCGTTTTGTTGCATGTAGTTTTGCTCCAAGCCTTGGCAGTTTTAAAAGCCAGCTGCTCCCTTGGGATGACTCTTCTGTATTGAGAGAGAAAAGAATATAACTGTATAATGTTTGAGTTGGGAAGGGTCATTATATTATTTGATTGTTCTGTATATCAGACAGTCTTTTGTGGTTTGTTGGATTACTTAAGATAATGCTATTAAACCTTTTTAAAAAGTGTAGAATTTTAAAACCAGCTCCCTTCCTGTGTCTTTATTTCTTCTTAGAGTTGCTCATACCACGTTGCAGTATCTTCTGACTTCCAACATCTCTAACAAAAACACAGCTGCTTGCCTTTATAATGGCAGTGAGAATAAAAACCTCGGGTAGTTTAGCATGGTTGCCTGTTCAAAGGAGGTATTTTGTGCTGGGAGAGACTGATCTCTTTGAACTGCCAGCAGGAAATAGAAGCTGATGAGAATACAAAGCCAAAACAGTAGAAGTAAAGATGGTCAGATTTAGTCTTATGAGAAAAGCTAATCAAAACGGCACATTTTGGGAGATTACGAGTATAAACTGGCTCATTTTCTTAATGTGAGCCATCAGTTGTGTTCTCTTCCATCGTCAGTGCTGTAAATAATTTGCCCTTTCACTTCCTTCACCTCCACAAAATCACTTTCAGCTGCTAATGAAGTCCAATTGAACTCAGCAAATTACTTGGGCCAGGAAGAATGAGAAACTTCCGTTTTCTTCAGTGCTTCAAACCAAAAAATCCTGCTCTTTGAATGCTGGTCCTCGGGTGGTGTCCTGGGATGCCAAGACATCTTGATTGAAATGTCAGTGTAAATCAATAACGTGGTCTCTGACTTTGAGGAAGTGTCTTAAACATCTGGCTCTAGGTTTTTCCTGTTGCTTTGTCTGTTGAAGTGGTTTAGGTTTATGCAAATTGCTTGGTAATTGTAACTGGCTGATTAAGGCCCTCATTGAAGCGGAAGGAAACCTGGGCTCTGTCTCCTGCTCAAGTGAAACTTCATCCCTAGCAGAGATTGAGAGAAATCAGGCCCAGGGCTGGGCTGTATAAAATCCACTGAAGTTGTATCCAAGCAGGCAGTGAAGGGATTTGACCCTCAGTACCTGGGATATGAGTGGTCTAATAACTAGACATGTAATGTTTCTAAGAAATAGAATGGTTAATGAGTTGCATCTACATCTAATTGGGGAAGTAAATCCCCGTTTCTTGTGTTTTTTTCTTGAGTAGCTGTGAAAATGTATTTATTTTCCTAAGATTGATTCATCACAGAAGGTTGTCAGTTGTTTTTCAGTTTATGGGTAGACTCTTGGGGGGCTCACTTGAGAACTTTAGGTGCTGTCAGACCAAGCTGCGATTAAACGTACAAAGTCTGGAGTGTAACACCTTTTGAAAAGAGTGACGGCAACTGTAGGTTAAACTGGGTTTTGAGGAGGCACCATAAACGTTGTATTTTACTGATGTTAGACCCCACTGCATGTGCTAGCCCCTGACTTGCTCTCAGTGCTGTTACAGGAATCACAAAATAGCAATGGAGACTGCATGGTAAATCTACATAAAATTATGTGCTATGTAGAAAGTCAGGGTTTGCTCATTCACTGGTTTTCTGTGTTTATTGGCCAGTTGGTTTTGTAACTGCCCTTTAACTAGTAGCCTAATTATAAGTTTATTCGTAATTTGAAGTTATTAAAGGATTTGATGCTAGCACATACCACCAGTTTACCCGAATTAAATACCACTGCAGCTGGAACGGCTTGGAGAAAATATTGTAGCTGTGTGTGGGTGAAATGGTTATTTGGGAGACTGTTACAGAAATCACAAAATAGCAATGGAGACTGCAGGGTAAATTTACGTAAAATTTGTATGTGCTATGTAGAAAGTCAGAGTTTGCTCATTCACTGGTTTTCTGTGTTTATTGGCCAGTTGGTTTTGTAACTGCCCTTTAACTAGTAGCCTAATTATAAGTTTATTCGTAATTTGAAGTTATTAAAGGATTTGATGCTAGCACATACCACCAGTTTACCCGAATTAAATACCACTGCAGCTGGAACGGCTTGGAGAAAATATTGTAGCTGTGTGTGGGTGAAATGGTTATTTGGGAGATAAGAAACGAGATTTTGAACATGATTTTTAAATGCTTGGGCTCTTTCTTAAGTGTTTTTTTTCCGGCGGGATCCCCAACCCAGGCCTGGGGTCACCCCAAAAGCAGCAGCAAGGGAGGGGAGCGAAGGTCCTGGCCAGGGGCAGCCCGCGCATGCGCACCCGTGGCTTCCCCTTGGCGGGAGGGGGGCGTGGCCGGAGGACCCCCGCGCGCGGCCGTGCGCCCCTCGCGTCCGGCGGCGGCGCTGCA